GAAGACATCATTCAAGAAATATAATTCAATGAAATAAATTTAAAATGGGAAACATTAGGATGAAGAGGAATTCAAAAGACTAGATTTTGAGATAGCACAAAGAATGTATGCACCTGCGCCATTGAAAACGATTTTAAGCCTTGTCATTCAAGGTCTCCAACCATCAGTTACGATTGTGTCTCAGACCCCGACCAGATAGTCCACATTTACGAACATGACACAATCCAGTTGTCAGTGACCTCATGGATTTGTGGCATGTATTGGTCTGGCCGCCCCTAGTTTTCTTCCAGTCTACTCCTACATCGCAAAACATGGCTGGACGAGGTAGTCGGCGGTTGTGCATTCATAATACATGTCCGGACCACCTCAACTGGCTAAGTTCCAGCATTTCCTTTTCCTAACAACAGCATTGCTTTCTCGATTGTCTCAAGAGATAAGGGCGATGTTTCGAAGACACCGATGATTAAATACTGATAGTCTACGAATATCCTCTACTCTGACTGGCCATGTTTCAAACTCGTATGGCAGGACGGAGCGAACTGCTGCACAATAGACTCGTCCTTTGGTTAGCAAACGGATATCTCGCCTACGTCATAATTGACGCAAGTTGGCAAAAGCAAATTGAGCCCTCTGTATCCGAGCTGAGATCTCGTCAGTCACCAAACCATCAGCACTGATGAGACTCCCAAGATAAGTGAAGCGGTCTACTCGCTCGACTACTTCACTCCCTATCACTATTTTAGGTGCCGATGCAACCCAGTCTTGAAGCAACATTTTGCATTTCGAGGGGGAAAACCGTATCCCGAACATGCTTGCACTGTTGCTTATGGTAGTCAGAAGACTCTGCATTTTGTCAGCGTCTTCACCGAATAGGACTAAGTCATCGGCATATTCTAAGTCAATAAGCGAGCCACCTGGTAGCAGGTCTACTCCTGAAAATTCAGACAAACATAATTTTATATCTAGCAGCATGTCCATGACAAAATTGAACATGAATGGGGGAAGTGGACATCCCTGACGGACACTACTTGAAGCAAAGAATTCCGATAACAGTTCGCCATAAGCTCTCATTGGATCAGTAATGTTCGATTAGAGAGCTTGTATGACGTTATTGTACTTCGTTGGTACACCTTGAATTACAAAAATCATCCAAGTGCATCATGAGGCAAGCCCCGACTTGGTGTCCTCAAGGTTAAAGAGAAGGAGGAAGACTAAAGAACACAAAGCGCGGAGCATTGAGGACAGACATGAAAAGAATGAATAGCAATTGGGTAAAACTGAAAAGAATGCTAGTCAGTGGCCTATACTTCATTAGGAGTAACAGGAATAAGTGACAGACTTCAGTCAAATTCGGTTGATAATGGTATATTTTTAAGCTCAAGTTTTCAAGAGCTTCCAAAGTTACTGCTTCCATGCAGCTAAAATTAGTATAAAAATTACATGCATGTAATTGTATGTGATATCAAACTCATTAATTGATTAGTCACACATGAATTAGCATACTCATTTGTCTCACGTAATTAATCGTATACGCAAGAAATTGATTATACTACACACTTGAAACAATAGATTTTTTTTCCAATTCAACAATAATCTGCATGAGTTAATTCACAAGATAGATAATGATAGATTACTAATTGAAAGATTTAATTTGTATTAAAAACCCTGTGATATATAATCATTATCATTAAAACATCTACCATTGAAAATAGTCATTCAGACTATGCAATTTAATATACAATGTAAGATGTAGTTGAATGTTCACATGAAGAAAAAATTAATCAGAAGTGATTAACCAGAAAATCAATACAAAACAAGTGGAATATATGCATATATATATATATATATATATATATATATATATATATATATATATATATATATATATAAATCAATGAATACATTGACGACAGAACATTCTCATTCACTTCAAATATGAACAATTGGTTTTCAGTACTTTAAAAATACCTGATTTCAATGGCTTGATCTAAACTTACTTGGATTGTTTACTTGACGAATACGAAAAATTAAAGGTCTGGCAAAACTGTTACTGTTCGATGATACACAAACGACCTTTGGTAGATGTCTCACTCGATTTCAATCTGATTTCTTTTCAAAGTGAGTCAGTTATAACTTATAGATTCTTACGTAGGTACATTAGTTCAAGTTGCCATACCACATTCGAACAGAGACGCAATTGTCAATTCCATAGTACCAGAGAAAGTAAAGTATTAGCAGTAATCAGAGATTAATGATCGAAAATATAATTGGAAATGTATAACGCAGACAGAAAGAAGAGAGAAGACGGTCATGAGGAAATCAGAAGATCAAAATTTGAGAACACAAAGAATGGATGCACCTGTGCCATCGCAAACGGTTTTGAACCACATCATTCAAGATCGCTAACCATCGATTATAATCATCTCGAGGACCCCAACCAGGTAGTCGACATCTACCAACATGACTTAGTCCACTTGTCAGTGACTTCATGGATCTCTGCCATGTTTTGGTCTGGCCGCCCCTAGCTGTCTTCCAACCTACTCCTACACCACAAAACATAGCTCGTCGATGCAGTCTGTGGTTTTGCATACGTAACACATGACCCGATCATCTCAACTGATCAACTTTCATTACTTCATCTATCAACCTGCTATCCTTACTTAGTACCGGTTCGTTAACTGCATTGCTTACTCCATAGTCCCAAGATAAACGAGTAATGCTTCTGAGACATATATGATCCAAAACCAGTAATTTACGAATATCTTTTACTCTGACTGGCCATGTTTCACAGCCATAAAGTAGAGCAGAGTGAACTGCTGCGCAGTACACTAGTCCTTTGGTTAGCAGACGGAAATCTCGCCTACGCCTACGCAAGGTGGCAAAAGCAAATAGAGCTTTCTGTATTCATGCTGAGATTTAGTCAGTCACCAGGCCATCAGCACTGATGAGACTCCTGAGATAACTGAAGCTGTCAACACGCTAAACCGCTTCACTCCCTATCACTAGTCCAGGACTGTGAAACTATTATACATGAAACTTTCTCCTTACGAAAGCGATCGTTTAAAAGTGAATGCCAGAAGAAACCTGCAAACCAGATACCTTTTTTCACGAAATAAATGAGGATTTAACTGATCATACAGTATTAAACTAGCTGTCAATAAATTTGAACTCTAGGCTACTGAAGCACATACTTATTTCATGTATAACACAATCGATTTCGTATATACAACTATGTAGAAACTAGGTTTATGAATAGGTTTTATACGCTTATTTTATGCTTAACACTACTATAGACGTTATGGAAACATACCAGTCTTCATACAGAGAATATCAGATCATCTAAAATAATCTTCATCGGGAAGAAATCAAAAACTTCTGTAACGCTCATTCATTAGTCACTTTCGTCTTTCACGTTATAGGGCTTAAATACCGCAATTTGACTGGAATTACATAATATTAAGCCGAAGACTTTACTTCTATGTAATGTTGACACTTTAGTCTTCCTATCGAGGAAATACTGGATTACAAAAACTGGGTTGTCTTCCTATGGTTAACCAAATTAAAAAAGATCTGTTACATGTTGAGACCACCGTTTACCATTAGCATTACTATTACGTCATGGCACATCAGTACGAACGTTTTTACAAGGATTACCTCTAATGATAGTTACTTTTGTTCACTGAGACACCAAATGTGAAATACTGAGGACGAAGACACTGCGAACGTTTAAATTTGAGATTTCGGCATGTTTTTTCCATCGGAAAAATTTTCAATTTATCATACCCAAATGGATATGATAATAAACGCATACTATCTTTTTAATATACCTGTTTCAGTAGAACTTGGTCCACGTGTACACCAGTTCAAGTTGACAGCCACATTAGAACATACAGATCAAATTTTCAGTCCAAATCCCATAGTGGTACAGTTAGTTGAAGTATTAGCAGCAATTGAAGAGATAAGGGTTCCGAGACATCACTCGAGAAGTATATCCTAGTGAAATACTTTTAAAAAAACGAAAGAGGCTATAAATAATTCAGAAGATTAAATCTTGAGAGAAGACAAAGGATGGATGCGCCTGGGCCAATGAAAACGATTTTGAGCCATGTCATTCAAAGTCTCTAACCATCGGTTACTATTGTCTCGTGGACCTCAACCAGATAGTCTACACTTATTAACATGGCTCCGGCCAGTTGTCAATGACTTTATGGACAACACTGGTCGAGGCAGTCAGTAACTGGGCATAAGTAATACATGTCCTGACCACCTCGACTGGTGAACACTCGCTGCTCATTAATTGATCTGCCATCCTTGCCTAGTACCCTTTTCCTAACACTAGAATTGCTTACTCGTTGGCCCCAGGATATTCGAGCAATGGCTTCGAAGGCACATGTGATCGAATACTAGTAGCCTATCATTATTCTCGCTTCTTGGTGGCCATATTTTACACCCATACAGTAGAGTAAATCTGCTTATGTTCCCTTGTATATACATTTTGTTTACAAATGACATCTAAACTTACGAGATGAAGGTTAACTATAGTAACCTGTCAACCAATAATACTCTACCGCATATAAATAATGAAAACATTCAAAGTTTTATACTATTAACAATTTCGCTACAAATAATCGATTCGGCATAATGAAAAAATCCTTACCTTTCGAATAACGTAACTTTATTTTGATTAATATAGTTTGTCAATAAGTATCAACCTGATTATATCTGTCATTGAAGTATATAATGTAGACGCCTTCACATTAAAATATTAGAATACTAGTTTGGTTATCATATAACTGATTTAGCAAGGGTTATAAACCAAATAAATTACCTAAATGATATAAATTATTATAGTGATCTAACATGATACTCTCCTCATATTATTAATCCACATATACGAGTATGGAGATAAATTTGAATGCAACAATGTGAAAGCTAGTTATCGCTAAGCTGTGAGCTGTAAAGAAAATGTTTTTAAAAATAACATTCATTGAAACCAACGGCCTTGAATATCTACTACTGTCAGACATCCACATTATAATCTATGAATTTAGGACTCAGCTGTTAAATGAACAACAGACATAGTAATAACACCAGTTGTATAAATTTTGGATTAAGAAAAATTCGAACATACGGGGTTTAGTGCCAACGGTTGAGTGATGGATATACTGAAACAAATTTATCATACTTACCAACTAGAAGATGAACTGAAAACTACAACTCCAATAATAACCAATCAACAAACAGAAAGCAAGTCCAGAACTGACATGGCTAAAAAAACAAAATGCATAAGTATCCTCTCTATATACGTAGAAAAACAAATTGGTGAATAAAATATACAAACAAGCAAAATTTACTGAATTATGTTAGTTAGAGAAGAAAAAGGGACGAAAAGAAATGAGAGAGAAGGAAGAAAGAAATCAAACAGAGGCCAGCAAATATGATGCATTTGAAAATCGAGTTCAATAGTTAGGTAATAAAATAAATATATATTGATGCTAACTCTTATGTTCAATAATAAACGTTGTACTTCTGTTTTAATCAGTTTTATTGTTCACAAGTGTTGTACGTTGTTTAAGCATTGGAATATATATATATATATATATATATATATATATATATATATATATATATACGATAAAAGGAAATAACAGAAAACTGAATCCGTATAAATTAAACATAACTTATATGACACACGTTCATGTATCATAAGTTCAACAATAAAATGAATCAATACAACTTCAGTGATTATTTGCCAATAGGATTGAATCAATCAGTGAGTGAAGCATATATTTATTTCATGATTGAAAGTTAATGAATTTTGGAAATACTGAAGACTAGATAATCAATTAATTAGTAGTAACACAAGTAAGTTAACTTTTCTTTCATGATACACAAGAGAATTTTTTTACCGAGAAAAACAAAACAAAGTAAAGTAAAAGTTACTTGATGAAATGGTTTCCCCCCTTGTGTTTTTTTTTTTAAAAATTCTGATCTATTCAAAATTGTGAACATCTTTGTAAAGCAGTAGTACAATAAGTCTGAATGAATCTTGATTAAAGGCACTCATGTGTTCATTGTTCAAAGTGTTTTTCTAATTAATGATTAATGCATTGTGTGCACCTTTAATATTTAATATAATAATAAGAATAATAATATATTAATAATATATTGATGAAAAGTAACAAGTGAACTGATAATTAAAATAATCTTTGATTTCCGAGATTCAACGTCAACTAATTACTATTAGAGAGAATAAGAATAGTGATAAACTAACAGCAGTGGTCATAATTGAGAATGTGAATGAAGATAATATTAAAAATTAAGTCAATGAGATAAATGTACAAATCAATAAATATTATGTTCAATATTAATGAACACAGGAAAATATTTATTAATTTAATTAAAGAAGACTGGAATACTCATATTAACAGTAAAATTATTATATTGAGAGAAAAAGAAGTTAGGAGAGAGAGAGAGAGAGAGAGAAAGAAACAGAGAGAAACAAGAGTAAAGAATAGTCGATTAAAAATTGATCATTCAATATAGAGTTAAATTGATGTAAGCAGTCGGAACAAAACCTTGACGTGTTCCATCTTCAGATACTACAGCTGTCCAGCCAGAATTGGTCGAATCCACACTTGACACATAATACAATTCTCCAGGCTTTGTTGCCAAATATTTACTTCCGTCACCTGATCGAAGAAAATTTCGAGATAATAAAAGTTTTCATTACGCTAAGATTAAACAATTAAATGTTTAAGATGAAGATATCTATATATCGAAATGTATATTGAAATTATCAATAGGATCGATCCTATGCAATCATTCTAACCAAAGTAAAGTAAAGTTCATTTAAAGCAATAACGAAATAAGCTTACTTCTACATCATTTACTGGTGAAAAGATACGCTCTAAGCATTTTACACTTATTATTTATGATCAAAATTGATAGATTGTTGAATCTCATCACAAATAACAAAGCACTACCTGTGTGATATGAGATGTCAGTGTTCATCAGCAGTTTGAAGAAATGTTCATAAAGCTTTAGCAAATAATTATCACACATTCACATCAACTTTATATTGATAGAGATGTTTCGAAACTAGAAACCATAATACTCTTGTTCATACGTGATATGTTCGTCACTTAGTATGCTTGAGGCTATTACGAGTTTACCTTAGTCGATAAACGCGAACGAGACTTTTACCAGCTTCCAGGAAGGCTACCTTGAATCCCAGAATCGAAATAGAAGACTTTGTAGGCGTAGAAAGTATATTCTACAAACACCCAGCAATCCAGTACCATCAAGCATACAACTCTCGTTTATTTATACAACATAACAACGTCCTTGAGACAGTTAAGAAAATAGCATACTAAAATACACTGTAGCCAATCACAGCCATTGATTTCCTGGTGGGAATTGAAATCTCAAGGTCATTTGATCAGCCCCTGCTGGCGAACGTGAAAACCGAAATACGGGATTATCAAGCGAATTTTTGGGGATCTAACATCCCCAACACTCCTCCCCTTTTTAATAGCGTGTTCTCCTGGGGTCGACTTGCATCTTGACTATTGTTCGCCGCTGTCTGAGTGGATACCTTCGGGAACGAAGAACAGCTTGCTGCTGAGTTTCTTCTCGTGGCGGGGCTCTCGGTAGGTTGAAGGTACCAAGCAAGATGTCAAGGGGAAGGCTTTCTGCTCTTGATGGGCGATCTGGGGCTAGCCGTCTGCGTATCTGATTGCGATGACGTGACCATTTATCACCTCCTACCTCTACTTCGTACATAACTCGACCAACCCTTCTGACCACTCTCGCTTCTACCCAAGGACCATGGTTCGTTCTGTAGTCGCGGGCAAACACAGGGCATCCTACTTCGTAAGCGGATTGTCTTTGCTGCTTTGTCTTTACTGATGAGGGTGCATTAGTCGGATGCATCAGGCTGTGGATCGTTTTCAATCTTCTTCCCATCAGGATTTCAGCTGGGGACTTTTGCTCCGGTAACAATTCATTTGGTGTTGTCCGATAGACGTACAAGAAATTTTGTAACGTTTTGGCTGGTGTCCCCTCCCCTTTTGACTTGAGCAGTGCTCTTTTAAACGTATCCACAAACCTTTCCGCCTGCCCATTCGATTGCGGGTGGTATGGTGGCGAGCGTAAGTGTTTAATAGCTAGCCGTTGACAGAAATTCTGGAATTGGGAAGAGGTGAATTGAGAGCCATTGTCGGATACGATCACATCTGGTATGCCATTTCGTGAGAAAATTTCAGTTAGGAGCTGTATAGTCTTAGTTGTAGTGGGCGGCATAACGGGGCTGATTTCCGGCCATTTAGAAAAGGCGTCGACGACTATCAAATACATAGTTCCATTTATTGGGCCAGCGAAGTCGACATGTATCCTGGACCAAGGATGCTCAGGTTTGGGCCATGAAACCGGCGGAATTTTGGCATTCATCTTTGCCGCCTAAATGGGCAGTTCCGTACATAGTGCCATGAACCGCAGTGCCAGCAAGCAGAAGGTGGATTCATTTTGGGTTTTTGGGCCGAATTGGAGCGGGGTGAACTGGGTGTAGCATGGGCAGACTTATAACGATTAGGTGGCTGCTGTACCAAATGAATTTCAGATCGGCTTGAACTACCACTCTGAACTATAGTTGAGTCTCGTTGTAGGTCAGTGAGACGTTGGTACTCATGAGCCATATCATTAAGCGTAAGCTTTGGATCTTGCTCCAACCGACTTAGTAGCCTTGTTCTAATGTCACTGAACTTACTCGACTGGAGGCTGCAGATGAGAATGAGGGCTTTGAACTGGTCTTCCGACAAAGACTTCAACCGAAAGCGTTCGCATTCACGGTTGACGATGCCCACGTGCGTAAGAAAATCATCATCTTCGTTCATAATAAGCTTCAAACATCGATAACGAGTATTAAATAGTGACGAGTTGTCTCCAAAGTGTTGGCTTAAAGTCTGAACAGTCTCAGAAAACGAACAATCTCGTGGGTTCAAATTCATTTGTTTCTTTAACAGCTCCAACATACGTTCCTGCAACTGTTCATATCGTTTACCTTGACGTTCCAGTAAAGATTCTAACTGTTCAAGGTTAATTGACATTGTGAATTGTGAGCCCCGTCGCCACTGATATGTTTTGTGGATATGGTTTTTACCCCGTCGCCACTGATATGTTCGTCACTTAGTATGCTTGAGGCTATTACGAGTTTACCTTAGTCGATAAACGCGAACGAGACTTTTACCAGCTTCCAGGAAGGCTACCTTGAATCCCAGAATCGAAATAGAAGACTTTGTAGGCGTAGAAAGTATATTCTACAAACACCCAGCAATCCAGTACCATCAAGCATACAACTCTCGTTTATTTATACAACATAACAACGTCCTTGAGACAGTTAAGAAAATAGCATACTAAAATACACTGTAGCCAATCACAGCCATTGATTTCCTGGTGGGAATTGAAATCTCAAGGTCATTTGATCAGCCCCTGCTGGCGAACGTGAAAACCGAAATACGGGATTATCAAGCGAATTTTTGGGGATCTAACATCCCCAACAATACGGTTCGAAATTGATGTATTCATTCATTGGAAATGTGAGTGACACAGTTACTGAATAAGCTTTACTTAAGCAGTAAAATATTTAAAATTCGTTATATTTTATCAGTTATAATAACTAATAACACCAGTAGATAAAAGGATAGCTGAACAACGCAATTTATCACTCACCTGGAACCGAAATCACAGACAATAGTTAATAGACAACTATTAGATTTTTACCTTAATTGGGTATTGAATACGTTTACTAGTATGGTCCATCTTTGAACAATAAGTGTTATTTATTATCTAATATGTTAATCTACTGGAGGATAAAACAAGAACATTACTGTTTACTATGAAATTCATTAGTTATTTCGTTCGTTAAATTACAACTACTACGCATGGAATTAGTTTTCAGATAAATACAATCCAAGTTAAATAACCAATAGCGAATAGCGCTAAATTAACATTCCGTGGTTTATTTAACATGTTTCTTTTAAATGACCATACATTAAACCGTCAAACGCATCAATGGCAAGTAGGTTTTTGAAAAGCACCTTCACTGTACTTGCAACAAATAATACGGCCCGTCAATTATTAATGTAAACAGTGAAATTTCAATTTGGCTACATCTTAAACGATTCACTATGTGAAATCGATCAAAAGTTAATCATTAAAAAACAACTCTCTGCACAAAAAAGGCATTAAAAAGGAAGCAGTCAACTGAATACCTTATTAAATAAAAGAAAAACATATTGATGCTCACTGTCGGTCGGCTCGTGCGACAACAAAAATTTGGAATCAAATGATTGACTGTGTTATCATCCATGTTATCGCTTTAACAAGCTGATTGCCATTGTCGGTTATTCTAATGAGAAATGGGTTTAAATGACGACTCTAGAGAAACTATGCAACTAAATTCTCTAGTACGGAGCTTTTCTACTCTGCAATTTTTTCAGATAATATTTTTTTCATATATTGTTTGAGTACCTTATATAACAAGTCCCCAAAATTATACCTATGACGAAATATTTACGGAATACTATTTCGATTATTTGATCACAGATTTCTATTTCCTGTTCATTTTGAAATGTGACTACTGTTTATTTGACTGTCATCATCATATCAGAGTAGACTAGGACATATATATACATATATCGAGATATACGAATATATGAACTAAATTTATAATAATTGTAAGAATTATTGGATTAAGTAAGAAATCCTTTCCTCGAGACATACTGATCTACAAGAGAAATAAATCGTTGCTAGTATAACACACCTGATCATTGATTTCAAATCGTTTTCTAGTTAATGCTCACTCAATGGACGGTAATCTTCTAAACAGATAATCTAAATGTAAATACTCATTTATTTTTACGTGTTCTACAATAGTTGTACAACTATTGAATTTTTTTTACAGTGACATTTTCAAAAGGTGATGACAGTTGGGTAAGATGAATTATCACAGTTTAGTATGATGATAGAAACTATGTAACTGAATCATTTTGTGTTTGGGCATTTCACAACTACGTAAATTATTTTCAAATTATCAAAATTTCGAATCCAATAATGATCATAAAAAAAGAAACTAAAAAGGAAAATTATTTACAACAACAACAACGATTATTATTATTTTAACCAATACAAACGTCTCATGAATATCGGTACTGAGTAACCAATCAAAAAGTAGAAAATGCTTTATACTGTTTACCTTCATATTCATACAAAACGGAAGCATAGCCAATGTATTGATTTACTGCATGTATATCCGAACTGCTATTTACAATACTGTTATCATGACTATTACTATTATTATTACTGTTGATTGTATTCGTAGCATTTTCATGATCTGAATCAAATGAATGATCACTTTCACCATCATCATCATCGTCAACATCACTGTAAATTGACAACAAAATAATACATTCAAAAGTGACCATGAAACAAAGTCAATTCTGTAGTATGTATGTTTGCACGCAGATAAACTTAACAGAAAGGTGTTATTCGGTAAAAGTTTAATCACATTGGTAGTAAAAAAATTAGCCATAAAAATTAATAATTGGGCTGTCCAACCTACCCATTCTTGTTCACTGTTGTCATAGACATGCTACTAGATATAATATTAACTTCGTTTGAATTTTCAGAGATGGACCTTCTACCACGAGACTTGCTAGTGGACTTAGAGTATGCCGATGACATAGTTCTTTTCGGTGAAGACGCTGACAAAATGCAGTCTTCTGATTACCCTAAGCAATAATGCAGGCATGTTCGGAATGCGGTTTCTCCTCTCGAAACGCAAAATGTTGCTTTAACATTGGGTTGCATTGGCACTTGAAATAGTGATAGGGAGTGAAGTAGTTGAGCGTGTTGACCGCTTCCCTTATCTGGGGAGTTTCATCAGTTTCATCAGATGAAATCTTAGCACGGATACAGAAGGCTCGATTGGCTTTTGCCAAACTGCGTTACTTATGGCGTGGGCGAGATATCCGTCTGCTAACCAAAGGACGAGTATTCTGCGCAGCAATTCGTTATGTCCTGCTATACGGTTGTGAAACATAGCCAGTAAGAGTAGAGGATATTCGTAGACTATCAGTATTTAATCATCGGTGGCTTCGAAGCATCGCTCTTATCTCGTGGAACAATCAAGTAAGCAATGCAGTTGTTAGTAAACGAGTACTAGGTAGGGATGGCAGATCAATTGATGAAGTAGTGAAATTTCATCAGTTAAGGTGATTGGGATATGTGTTACTCATGCCTAACCATCGATTTGAACTGACAGCTGCGTCTCTCTGCTGACGGCGTATGGCAACCTGAACTTATGTACTCATGTACGAAGTTCTACGTTGTAACTTACTGATTGACTGACTGAAATGGATTAGAGTACTTACTTACAAGTATTAATGAAAATCAATGATATCAAGTTTCTACCTAGATGTCGGAGCAGAGGTTGCTACTTTGGCTTTCCCTAACTACTTGTCCTTGAAGGCTAACTTTATTTCATTACAATGTTACAAGGTGTGAAGGTATATGAATAAACAGGTATTACTACTTGTGTGTTGAATAAAATCAATTTACTTCCGAAGTATTAAACTTGACAGCGCTTTTTACTGACTTCTTATAACCATACTCTACTCCACTGCAGTTTTCATAACATGATACGTTATATATATTTTCTATCCAATTGTAGCTGGTTAACAACTTATTTACTAAATAAGGCAAACAACCAATATTATTCATTTTTTGCTTTTTATTAACTTAACCTTAGAACTATTTGTGTACTTGCGTCAAGATTGATTAAGTTGCTTGCTTATTCTGAAAAACTAAACGGAATTAATGAATAGTATTGACCTTGACAACTTCTCAGTTAGTATAGGATTAGAGAAAAAAAGTACCTTTGTGAAGGAACAAACAAACAAATTCATCATATTCTAGAGAAACCGATTGCAGATTTTTTTTTAAAAAATAGATACAATTATAATATGAAATATTTAAACTTAGATTAGTTTATTCATACAAATTCAATAAACTTACGATTTGGTATTTACAAATGGAATCTTTGAAGTATTTGAGTTATTATTGATTACAGCACGTGAACTAAGCTTTTCAGCTATTGATTCAGCTTTTGTATAGGCTAAATCACCACCAAGACTGCTGAATTTCACCTGAAAATGAATATGTTTTTGTGTGCATTGAGAAATTTATTAATTGGTTTATATGTTAACTTATTGCAAAAAGTTGGAACAAAATTTCAACATGAAACATTCAAGGAAACAAGTGATTAGTGGTAATACTTTCATATGCTTTAATTGTTAATTCAAAATTTAAGAGTGAAGAATTAATAAGTAACAACCGAACGAACTAGCCTAGTTTGCAGTTGCCCTTGATTCTTCCTGTTACTAACAATAATAAGGTTAGAACAAGTGTTTAAAGCATCCAATATCATAAATTTTGTAAACAAGAATCAATGACGAAGAAGTAAAACAACATATTTTTCTCTTTATTAAACATTGGAATGATAATTATTCAAAAACATTTTATGTTCTTAATAGTCAGTATCCGTTCAGTCAGTCAGTTGCAACGTAAAACTTCGTACGTATGTTCATGTTGCCATACCACATTAGCACAGAGATAAAATTGTCAATTCAAATCCCATAGTAGTAGAGGTGATAAAAGTATTAGAAGTAATCGGTGGGATTAGGATTCGAAGATCTTATTCGAGAGGTATAATTCAGTGACGTAAATTTAGAAAGAGAGAGACAGAGGTGATGACAAATTCAGAAGGTTAGGATTTCACAGAACACAAAGAATAAATGCACCGGTGCCATTGCAAACGATTTTGAGCCATGTCGTTCAAGGTCTCTAACCATTGGTGACTTTCGTCTAGCGGACCCCAACCAGGTAGTCGACATCTACCAACATGACTTAGTCCACTTGTCAGTGACTTCATGGATTTCTGCCATGTTTTGGTCTGGCCGCCCCTAACTGTCTTCAAACCTACTCCTACACCACAAAACATAGCTCGTCGAGGCAGTCGATGGCTAGTCATTCGTAACACATGTCCGAACCACCTCAACTGATGAAGTTTCACCACGTCATCTATTGATCTGCCATCCTTACCTAGCACCCATTTCTTAACGACAGCATTGCTTATACGGTTGTTCCACTATATACGAGCAATGCTTCTAAGATATCTATGATGGAATACTAGCAACCTACGAACATCTACAATTAACGGCCATGTTTCGCATCCATATGGGAGAGCGGAGCGAACTGCTGCGCAGTACACCCGTCCTTTGGTTAGCGAACGGATATCTCGTCTACGCCATAAACGGCGTAAATTGGCAAAAGCAAATCGAGCTTTCTGTATCCACGCTGAGATTTCACTCCCCCTATCACTAGTCAGTATCCGTTACTTATGTTTAATAGAGAAAGCTTTTTATCAGTTCAACTACTACAATTATTCTTCTTTATCCATAATAGATAAGGTGCACGGATTCCAACGTATATCCCCTAGCAGTTTCTGCAAAAGAGACAAACAGGAGAATATTCCAACAAACATAGAATTTTCTGCACATTGAAATCATCATTCAATCATTGTTAGACCACTATTAAGAACCTGGAAGCACTGGACGGCGTTTCGTCCTGGTATGGCATTCATCAGCAGTGCGCATCAACGACTCCTGCGCCCCGCAGGATTCGAACCCAAGGCTTTCGGTATTGAGCACGAACGTCCAACCTCTAGACCACTGGCCCGGCATCCAACGGTGTTAATGTCTAACTCTGATTGATCTAGGGATTTTGGTAGTTACTGCCTACACTCAACAGGGTTGAACTCCACTGGTCACGTCTTCTCACTAGGACTCTGAGAATTTTCTCACGAATCTAATCAATAGTGAGCGCATTTTACGATTTTTCAATTAGAGTTATGGAGATTAGTGTTTTTCGCACATTGAAATCATCAATCAGTCATTGATCTAACAATAATTGATTGATGATTTCAATGTGCGAAAAACACTCATCTCCATAACTCTAATAGAATTTTCATTTGAGTTTTCTAGCAATCAGATTCGCGATAAGTTTTAAGCTTTTTTCTGAATGCGTATGAGTATATATCATTACAACTAATGTTCAGTTAAAAAAAGAGATCTGAAACAAGCAAATTTTTTCCAGTATTTGATTGGTTTAAAAAACTTTAGTCCAAACAATGAAAAGGAGCCTTTGAATTCGTAGTTGCATTTGTCAGAGTTTCCCACTTTCTGGAAGGTACAGGATTCATAGTTGGTATAACTAAGTAAATCAATAATCCACGATTAAAAGGTTCAGGTGATAAAATATTTTGAGGTTAATCACAATAAATCATCGTTATTCATTAAATTTTTCTAGGTCTTAGATGTTAACTGTTAGTTCGTAGATGTCGCTTTTTTTCAAAAATAAATGAATTCTCTCTATATTTTGTTATTTTATTATCACTGTTATTATTATCATCTCGATTTTGTGCGGTCTTTTCATCTTATTGATTTTTCCTTTTGGTAATGATTTCTAACGTGGCAACCTGAATCGATGCAAATGTGTGCCGTATCCCATATAATTGAAATTCCTACTCAATTTGTAAAGTAGATAGGATACAGTCATTTAGTTCTCTTATAATTTCGAATCAAATAAAGCAAATTAACTAATTACTTAAATGTGATTTGAGTCTTTTATAAATTAAATTATTTATTTATCTACCAGTTGATATCTATCTATTAACGTGGTCTTCCTTTTCCTTTATGATGAATTTGTTCAAAACATTGAACATAGTTTTCACTGACTTAGATTTTCTTACGTTTTTTTCAAAAAAAAAGATGTAGCCTTGATGACTTAAGCTACAACGAAACTTAGTTTTAACATTAGTACTGCCTAAGCATAAACGTTTTCACTAAACGGTTGTGCAGATTATTGAGTTTCAGTTAAATCATGAGTTTATCAATGTTAGAGAAACCACTAGGAACCTGGAAGCACTGGACGGCCGTTTCGTCCCAATATGGGACTCATCAGCAGTGAGCATCCACGAACCCCGTCATGACCAGTGGAGTTCAACCTTGTCGGATGTAAAACAGTGCCAACTGAAGAGTGGATGAGGTTGAACAAGACTATGGATTGATCGAATTTAAACATAAAAACTGTTCAATACGAACTGATTTTATCGTGGTAATGAGTAATGGAGGTTAATCGTTTTTTTCAACAACGATATAACTTGCTATATTGAATGATACATTTTGGATAAACTGGTTTTCAAGTGAATTAGAAATCTAAATTGTTAAACAACAAGTTGCATAAAAATGTTTTATTTTATTGCCATTACTCAAAAATCGAATACACTCATCATTATGATACGATATTTCCCTCTTAGTTCTGAATATTTTAAGACATGAAGAGCAATATGGATTAGAATATTCGTTATAACTAACATACAATATTATTTACACAAAAAAGACGAACTATTCCCATCTACGGGAAAATGTTTACCTCAAGCTCCTTAATATGGTTTTTTAATGAATTTAAACGTCTACTGTAAATAGCACCTGCTCGAACTAAACATTCCATATCTCCAAATTTAGGATTGGTCCGACAGGATTCAATCATTCGATCAGTGCTTCGCCTTTACAAAGATAAGGAGAGAATAAATATATACGCTATTTTATTAGGATGAATTCAAACTATGAATAATATCACAAAAAAAACCTAAATTCTTACTTACACTCCACCACCAGGGAACACTGTTGACAACTGTGTTTTTCTTAATGATGGAACGATTGATTAGCAAGTTAATTGAAGTGTTTGCTAGTTCATGATTAGTTAACTAACTTGTCAGAGTAAATAAGCCACGACGAAACTAAGCCTAAAATGAACAGATGTATTTTAGTGCAATTATTATGTCACCACCTATGTGTGGTACATTCAATCAAAACGTTATAAATATAATTTACTCATCAAATAATAAAAAAGTCATCAACGCTGTAAATGAATACCACTACACAAAAATTAATCTATTGTATCAATGGTATGGATAGAAAGTTGAGTAGAAATTATGATACTGTGATGTTTTTTCATAGATAGTCAATTCATACTTTATGCAACTCTGTATCATTTCGATCATATTAATTCTGATTTAAATATATGGACGTGTATTCAGGCATCTTATGCGTAAGTAAAAATGATACTTATGATGACTATTTCAATGCCAACACATTTCTAAATTTCTCACTGAAAGCCATACACTTGAAGATACGGTTTCCTACTGACCAAATTAATCCCACTTAAATCGACAGTTGAATATATGAATGATGAAATAATGAGAACATAAGATTAGTATTAGTGAGAAAGGAACAAAGCCAATAATGCAGTGACAGATATATATATAATCTTACAGTAACCAACAAATTTTCAACGTTTTACACTATGTAGGGTGAAATATCAAGGTCATTGAAGAGAAAAAAACTGTTAGTGCCGTAAACGTTTCATAAAAAATGAATGGTTGACCAAATAATGTCTTATAAGATGCTAGTTTTTAAGTTTTATTCATTCTTTAAATACCATAATAAATCATAAGGAATGATTATTACGTACATGAAATTATTACGATTATTTTAAAACCTATCAGGTTTACTCGTTATACTAAATGGGAAAAAATTATAGCTGACCACTCATATCTCAGTTCACATAACACCCTGAATTCAAATCACAACTGTAATTTAAGAATTCACAACAATGGATTAAACAAGTTCACTGATAGTTACCTAGTTTTATTTATGCATTGATAATTATATTAAAACAGAAATAACTACAGAAGCATCTTAAGGTTAAAAAAATAATAAACACTTTTAGCTTTTTAAAAATAAAACATACTTTCTCAAACATTTAACTTAAAGAAAAAGGTACTCTAGGTATGGCACTAAAAGGGTGTGGTAACAATCAATACAAGTGATAACATAAACGCAGATCAATCAAAGCATAAACTGACTAGTTTATAAATTCATATCTCATTCAGTTTTAGCGGATACGTTTTACAGTCGTACAGTAAGAAATATTACTGATTTAATGTGTGTATTCTATTTATGGTGAACAAGATGCCTGATCGTAGCTGCTACCTTGACGTGGTGGTCGGACTTGACCATCATGATGACGCAACTGAGCTATATTAGCACGGACATATGTTCCTGTAGGTTCTACCATGTTAGGTAGGTCGATCGGAGAATGGTGAAACTAAAAGCAGCTACTAAAGGTCTGAGAGTGAGAGAGAGAGGTGTGATAGGAGTAAAGTGTTTCCCTCAGACGACCAACATCTGCAGTGATGCTGCCTTCTCACAAGGAAGGAAGGGGTTAGAAAAGGCTGACCCTAAAAATGTCAAACCTCACCTAACATCATGGATTTCCGTCACGAGCGGTAAGGTTATTTGAGGAGCGGAAGGTAACACTTTACAAACTTCCCATAAAAATGCCGTGGGTGACCGGCCTCAAACAGTTGACCCTTGAACTCTACGTTCACGCTTCCCGATTACCTTTTCAGGTTCCTGAAGAAGTACCTCGGCACAGTGTGGACAACCGGGAAGTGACAACCGCGATACTAAACTGATCATAATCAAATCCTTCCTATACCCCCTACCATTTTTCTTATCTTTACGACTAACTCTGCTCACATTCCTTTATCATCCCGCACCTTTAATGCAAACGATTCGAGTACGCGAAGCGTTATTCCCGGTCCCCTGAAACCCTGCCCTAAAATACGTATTGGAGCTTTTATTGCCCAAACATTGTATCGAATAGGACAACAAGCTTCGTTAGCTGGGAGTTTAGAATCACACACCATCGATGTATGCAGCGTCTCCGCATACAGAATCCGAGTACAGTGAATAAATCGACTTTAATTTGTCCAAATAAAGAAGCAACTCGTTTCACTCTTCATGTGTCAGCAAGACCTGCTGCTGCTTCCCATAGCCTCGCTGGTGTAGGTATAGTATTAAGTCCTAAGGCAGAACTGGCGCTCTTAGACTGGATCCCGGTAGATAGTTGTTTATTCGCAGTCCGACTAAACAGGACGGTAAGGACTCAGAGAGATGGACCCATACATTTCGACGGCTGACAATTGTTGTATCCCTTGAAATTAAAGCAGCATTCGACTCTGCTGATCATGAGGTTCTACGGCAGTATCTGTCATTTAAAGGTGTACCAAAGAAGTATATTAACCTTATAGAAGCTCTCTACTCGAATACCACTGGTCGAGTGAGAGATTATGGTGAACTGCCAGCAGAATTCATTACTTCAAGTGGTGCCCGTCAGGAATGCCCACTTTCTCCATTCTTGTCTAATTTTTTCAGACCTGCTTCTATACATAACATTAACTTCGTCTGACTTTTCAGGGGTGAACCTTCTACCACGAAACTTGCTTGTCGACCTAGAGTATCCCGGTGAAATATTTCTATTTGGTGAAGACGTTGAGAAAATGCAGTCTTCTGACTACCCTAAGCAACAATGCAAGCAGGTTCGTGATGCGATTCTCCCCGTCTAAACGTAAAATGTTGATTCAGGATTTGGTTGTGTCGTCACCTAAACTAGTGATAGGGAGTGAAGTAGTTGAGCGTGTCGACCGCATCACTTATCTCAGGAGTCTCATCAGCACGGATACAGAAGGTTCGACTGGCTTCTACCAAGTTGCGTCACTTATGGCGTAGGCGAGATATCTATCAGATGTCTTCGAGTAACAATTAACTGAAATCACATAATGAAACTATCCGACTAAATACGTTATTTGATAAGTCTATCTAATCTATCACACTCAATTAGACTAGCTGAGTATAAACCAGTCTTGAGCAATTAATTTGAAGTCCACAGATAAAAAATAAAGAAAAGACTTTCCTCAACAAAATCATGTCCACAAACTTGCACACCACGACAGACTAAACGTCGAAAGGTCATAATAGCAAAGATGTATCGCTAAGCTGTTTATGGTGAGTCCAAACGAAGGAAGACAAACTCAAAGGATAACAGACTTCCGTAAGCTTTGTGATGACCATATAACCTACAAGAAAGGCATATTATTCCTCGATACTCCTATAAATATTAGACAAAACTCTAAATTAGTGAGATCTTTAAGTGTTAAAACTATGTAAAATCATATAGCGAATTCGAAGAGTTGAAAAGTAGCCGTTTTTGGCTGTTTAACAAAACGTAACTGTCTTATCGATAATTCACATAGTGTATAGGATAGCAGTAAACCAAATAATCATACATAATATATCACTTTTATCAAAGATTGGATAGAGGTCGATGACACCGTGTTACTCTATTCTTCTTTAAATAACGTAATACGTTTTTAGAACTTTATTCTATATTTCCAGGGTTGACTTCTTATTCGAGTTATAATATAACGACGGAAAACCAAAATATTAAAAAATTAGACTAGTTAAGTTACTGTATGAATCGACCAGAAATTATTGATTAACAAAATTTTTTTTAACAATATAAACGACTTACAATTCATTATCAGTCTTCACTACCAAGTCCCTTAATACTTTTAGGCGGTCAGAAACTTGTCTGATTGTCAAATCTGCAGTCTTTAAATGTAAATAAATGATTGAAAAAAAAAATAGATATTCAACTCATTATAATTATTTAAGAGATAAAAATAACATAACATACAATACTGTTTTCGCGTGTTTTCATTTAGACTTGATAAAAAAAAATAAAATGAAATAAATCATACCCACAACTTTATGATTGGACTATGAAAAGATATGCACAAACCAAAAGATATACTTCAAAGGTTGGCAATGAGTTTTTGGTACAGTTTACATTTTATAAATTACGTACTTAGTAATCCATAAGCTATTGATTGATTTATATCAATCGTTTAATATACATTGCATTTAAACAAATATCGAACATTTTAGTCAGAGCAATTGTTTGCTGATAATCTGACATGATGAGTTGCTTTTTCTTTCGTCTTCATTGTAAAATCAATAAAATGACGAGGACAGATCACCACGGAACCTAAAGCTCAAGGATTACATTTGCGGGTAAGCTATAACAACCAGTATGTTAATACGACACTTAAAAACTAGTCGATTGTTCACAAAAGAACATGGATCTCAATCATTTGATCTGAGGAATCGGAGTCTAATATTCTGTCGTCCAGATAAGGGTGAGGTTATTGCAATACCTGTGTTACCAAATTATCCTCGATATACTTGTTGCTGACAAATTTTTAAAAGGAACAATTCAAAAAATGCAACTCATATAGCTAGTGTGTGGAAAGTTCTACTCACTAGATGCTCGTGGCAGGGTTGTTGGTGGTAGATACAGCTCATCCACCTAGCGAAGCTAGAGAACCCTGACTCTAACCGAGTGGTTCACATAGGCCCCAAGATGCTGACTGAACGAGTGGAGTACACAGTTATTATTGGTCAGTAGCCAACATGGAACCGCAACTCCTAACGTGGCTTTATTGCTTTCTGGAAGAGGTTTCTTCACCAAAGCCTTGGAGAAGGGGGTCTCTAAGAGAGCCATCTGCATCGGTTGACGCAAGCTGGCAAAATTTTGATTACTTCATAATGGGTATTGAATTGAGGGTTATTTTATTGATGATTTTTTATTCACGAATGATAAAAAGTTATGAAGTTTGGAGATATAACAGTCTTATCATGTAAGCAAACTTAATACTATAATATTTACGAGTTTTTTTTCAATAAAATTACAATTTCATCACAGTATTTAGTTAAATTAGTATGACATGAAAAAGTGAACTATATATCATAATAAAACTAAAAACTCTAACAATGAATGAACTTATTTTATTGTTTTCAAGAGGACAAATCATGCATTATTTTTGTTTACAACGGTAATACATTAATGAAAATAAATTTTTAAAATTACCTTTATACTTTTTATACTAATACCACATATGAATGGTGAACGTAGACTAAGATATTCATCTTTTGAAGTCTTATGAGTGGATCGAATGAATCCACTCATCATGCCGCTACCTGAAACGGTACTCCCTGAGTTATTTAACTGATTTGGGCATTCTGCTGATTCAACACCAAGTATTAGAGCTCCCAGTTCTGAAGCCGGACCGTCCAAAATACTTACAGGACATTTATCCAAATCGAGGAATGGTAAATCAGCTGGAGGTTGTTCATCTGTATGCAACCTCTTTATTACCGTGGCTGAGTCCTATGAAAGGATAAATCATGTGAACAATATAAAAACTTACATAATAGGTTTATATATGCATATATAAAATTGTCTACTGCAAAAACAATTCACACAGCCAGATACACGTCAAACACACGGATGTAGCACAACAGATATCACTTTGTTTATCACGTGATTCAGTATTAATAAATTACCCTAAAAGTACCCTGATACTTAACAAAAAAAAATAGGTTGTTCAGTTTTGGAAGATTAATTTAAAAAGCTATAATTGTCTGATTGATATATTCGAGAGAAATTTTATAATAGAGTTATACACTTCATAACATCAGATCACACATTTCAATAAACATCAAGTAGAACTCAAATGAATTTCTATTCTCCTACCAATATAAACATTTTCCTGATATTTCTTTAAATTTTATTCCGATGAACCAATCTACAACACGTAACGAGAAACAGCAAATGTCAGTCAGTCACTCAGATACAACATGGAAATTCGTACGTACGTACATTAGTTCAAGTTGCCATACCACATTACAACAGAGACGCAATTGTCAATTCAATTCCCATGGTAGTAGAGGTAGTAGAAGTATTAGCAGTAATGGAGATTAAGGTTCGAAGATATTATTCCAGAAGTATGGTCCAGTGATGCAAATTTGAAGGGAGAAAAAACGGCCACGAGGGATTTAGAAGATTAAAATCTGAGAGAAGATAAAGAATGGGCGCATCTGCGTCATTGTAAACGATTTTGAGTTATGTTATCAAGTCTTTAACCATTAATTAGTTAAGATTTGCGTCAAAGTCTCTAACCATCGGTTACTATCGTCTCGCAGAACCGAAGCACAACAGCAAATGTCTATACAAATTAGTTCGAAATTGTTCTAATATACACAAAATAGTGTTGGAATATTTTGTGATAGTGGGCGAAATTTACAACATTTATTAAAGATGTTTAAATCACAAAATAAATTGCTCTGCATATTTATTGAGGATCTTATCTTATAAATGGATGCATAATTTCAAATTCAAACTTTAAAATACACTTGGGAAATTTACAATAATTTTGAATAAATTATGTGGTTAGAATGAGAATATAACTATGATGCAAAAATATACACAAAAACCATGAGTATTTTGAAGTTGTGGAGAAGTCAAACGACCAAACATTTGCTTGAAAATATATAAAAATTTGAAGCACACGTCCTATAGAAAACAATCTTTTTGATTAAAAAAAACTCACACAGGACGAATCAAGAGCAGAAACCGCTTCAGATATTAACTTGTTGCAGCTAGTGAGTTTCGATATTGTTTCTTCATTTATGCGGGCGACCATTAGTAAAAGTTCACGAGTGCGGTTGTTTCTCATGCGACTTGAACACTCCATATCATCTACAAAAGTCACTATATCAGTGCTGAAGTGACGTCGATTAGCTGTATTGTATTTAGTTAAATCATCAGCATAATTTCTACTAGCTTGATCAAAAGACTGTACTTTGCTTTGATAAAGAGCTTCAAACTAGATAAGAATAGCAAAAGCAAAGATATTGTTAGCTTACTAAATTTTAGGAATTTGAAACAACAGAAATTAATTACACAGTATGATATATTGAAAGTTTGAAGCAAGGATAACCTAACTGTTTGATACTAGTATAAAAAACCGATTTGTACTAAAAATGCAGAGATATACATCTTGTATTTACAATCCTTTTGATTGTATGCATTATCCTCGATTGAAATTTCTGTGCTATCTTATTTTTAGAAATGCAGAGTTGATTTAAACGGCGTGATCATACTTTATGTAGTTAGTGTTAAATTATAGTCTACTGATTACGCATTATAATAAAATTAATATTACCGCATTCCTAACGATGCCAGACATCGATAAGATATGTATTTTTAGTAAGTATTCCAATTGATTAAATATGTAACAAAGATTAAAACCAAATTTTGAGAAAAAAGTGAGGTATCGTCTTACTAACAAATAATACTCCAAAGTGTGAGCCAAACTTATTACCGATATGACTACGAATAGAAAAACAAACCTTTTGTTGATCTACTCGAGCTAGTTGGATATCATTTTGAGCTCTTTCCGAAACCTCATACGCTTTCTGTTTTTCTTTGAAACTGGTTACATACTTTTGCCAGCTTAGCTCCAACTGCTTACGCGACTGTTCTAGAGTCGAGTTCATCTTTGACCAATGAGAACGCTGTTTTTCCAAGGATCTCTTCTCATTTTCAACTTCAGTTTTGAATGGATTGACAACAGATTCATTAAGTTTTTTGGAACTGGCCTCATGTGTAACACCCATTTCAAGAATTTGTGGCACGATACTTGAATATGTTAGAACGGAAGATAATTCGTCAACATCGGGTTTTTTCCTTGGTAAATATACAGAAACCGTTTTCCTATATAAATCAAAATCCAATGGCAATAAAACGTTACTTTACCTTAATTTCTTTCCGAATTCATGTTGTAGCTTTTGAACATCTGAGAAAAGTTTGAAATAGGACTCAGTTAATCCAATCTGATCGATTTCATGTTTAAACAGATTCTCTACATGATCCTACAGTTACAAAAGAAAACAAGTTTAGGAGCCAGCAAATAATCACTTGCTACATTGTAATAACAAGTGTAGTAAGCAAACATTCAAATTTCTTTTAAACATATTAACTGATGTCGTCTTAGTGCAAACAATAACAAAAATACAGTTAACGAGAAATCTAAATTCCATTATTTCTCAAAGAATCAGTTGTCTTAATTCTTATGGCATTACTACACTGAGTACATGAAGGCAAGTCAAAGTGTGTGAAAAGACATATTTTATCGTTTTAATGATTGACAGTTATGGATTGTCATTAGGAAAACTTTTTGGTTAACTTCATTATTGAAATACGGTATTAAAACCCAACTATCGCCTGGTCAACTACAGTTACAATCTAGTTATTCTATGCAAATCAGTTATTCTGCAACTATTCATAAATTAAAGTTAGTTGTCACCGTCTAAAACCGAAGATTATGATCCCTGACATTTCGGCTGGTTTAGTTTTAAACCATTTTTAAGTGCCCATTCCTCAATGGATTTAAGGTCCTTTAGGAGCTCAGTTGAATCCTCTTCGCTTCTAATGGACCTCCAGATCTTCACATCGTCTGCGTAGACCAATGCCGCTGAGTTAACAGGTTGTGAATACGTATCAAGAAGAGAAGTGGACCTAAGATGGCCCACTGTGAAAATCGAGATGTTGAGACTCGCCAACTCGCGTGCACTATATTTACCTTGGTGCGAAACTTTCTATTCTCAAGATAGTTTCTATGCCATGATAGAAGTGGGTCAGTGAAGCCGATTCCCGCAACCTTCTCAACTAGGAGTGCGTGGGGTACTGTGTCAAAGGCCTTTGTAAAGTCAGACAGATCAGACAGGTCTACTGATGATCAAAAATACGAGGACTAATCAGGTCAAAAATTTGAGTAAGATGATGACTGGTAAATCAAAACGTGTATATTTTGATAAATTGGGATTAACATAACTTCTTAAACATGTAAAAGGAACTAGAAGTGACAATGATTCAGGGTAATTTGAGTTGCTTATGGTTGACGTCAGTTAAGCAGAATCTACAGGTTCTGTAATTCATGTCTACTTGTAATAGAAACTAAAACTGGTGTGAAAGTTTATCCCTGAATACAACACCCATTATCAATTAACCATAATTTTGACAGCTTGCGTCAACCGATGCAGACGGCTACCTTAGAGAACCCTGACTCTAAGCCAGTGGTGGTGCACCCAGGCCTAAAGATACTGACTGGTCAGCGGCCAACATGGAACTAAAACCCCTGAAGTTGCTTCATTGCTTTCTGGAACAGGCATCTTCGCCAAAGGCTCGGGGAGAAGGTCTCTTACTTCCCTAGGTAGACCAGCCATAACCACCACCAACAACCCCGTCACGAGCATCTAGTGAATAAAACTTTCCACACAATAGCTATGAGTTGCATTTCTTGAATTGTTTCTTTTAAAAATTTGTGAGCAACAAGTAATACCGAGGATAATTTGGTGACACAGCCATCGCAATAACCGCGCCCTTATCTGGACGACAGAATATTAAACTCCGATTCCTCAGATCAAATGACTGAGATTCATGTTCTTTTGTGAATAATCGACTAGTTTTAGGTTTCGTATTAACATACTGATCACAACAGTTGACAAGGTGTTTTGAAATGCTCATAATCCTCATAAAATACGGGCGTAAGTTCGCTTGATTGACGAATGAGGCTTTTAAACTAGGTTTCAGCGTTGGATTCCATAACATTGGTTTACGCACTACGATATTTAGGACCAAGTGAAAATGTCTGTGGCTGAATAGTCGATAACGTTTTACTTTAGTAAAATTTTGCCTCAATATTGGCTTGCATTGTCACCTGAACTAGTGATAGGGAACTAAGTATTTGAGCCTGTTGATCACTCTACTTATCTCGAGAGGCTCTTCAGTCTTGATGGCGTGGTGACTGACGAAATCTCAGCACATGTACAAAAGGCTCAACCGGCCAATCTGCGTCACTTATGGCGTAGGTGAGATTTCATTTGCTAACCAAAGGACCAGTCTACTGAGCAGCAGTTCACTTTGTCCTGGTGTGAAACATGGCTAGAATAGAGGATAATCATAGGCTACTAGTATTTGATCACGTGTCCTCGAAACATTGTTTGTATACCGTGCGACAATCGAGTAGGCAATGCTGCAGCTAGGAATAGGGTACCAGGTAATGATGGCAAATCAATTGATGAAGCAGTGAATCTTCATCAGCTGAGATGATTGGGATATGTATAACGTACTCTCAACCACCGACTGCCTCGACGAGCTGTGTTGTTTGATGTAGGAATGGGCTGGAAGAACGCTAGGGGTGGCCTAACCAAAGCACCGCACCAGTTCATGAAGTCACTGACGGTTGGATCGAGCCATGTTAGTAAGTGTAGACTACCTGGTTGCGGTCCGAGAGACAATCGTACCTGCTGGTTAGAGAATTTGATTGATATAGCTCAAAATCGTTTGTAATGGTACAGGTGCATCCACGATTTGCCTTCTCTCAAGATCTAATTTTCGTAATTCTTTATGGCCCTTTCCCTATTTTCGGATTTATTTCACTTGATCATACTTCTTGAATAATTTCTTCGAGCCCTAATCTCCGTTACCTCTAATACTTACACTACTTCTGCTAGTCTGGGATTCAACGCGACAATTCGATTACTATGCTTATGTGGTACTGTAACTCGAACACGCTGCGCCGAATACATGATTTTCTGGTTTATTGGAAAGTGTGGATTTCCGTGGGTCTTACAATTTTATTAGTTATGCATTCAAGTCATTGATAAGATTTTTAACTGCATCAATGCAATTCTTGAATCTGCCAGGTTCATATTCCGAAAAATCATGTAGTGTTAGTAACAAAGCGTCTCGCTACATTACCGGCATTCTCAACTTGATTTTATTTGTATAATTCAACGTGTAATGCGTCAAAGAACGATGATCTGGTTTTAAATCTCCACAGCATACCAGTGACTAATTAGTTTATTTATATTCACAAGTCTACTTAAAAAGCTTGAAAGTACAGATACAGGATAAACCCTGTGAGCAAATGAACAAGATGAACTGTCGCGACAGTATCATTGTGGGCAACAAACTAATAATATCTCCGTTTCCTAAAGCTTTACGAATCTGTTGGATTAAGCAACTTTATAGCCCGAAATCGACAGCAATATTTAAATAGAACCTCTGATCTTACCTTAAGCCTATATGGTCGATACTGATTTGCTTAGTTAGATTGTATGTAAATAGAAATATCAAAGAAGGCAAGGATTTATTATACAATCTATGCACTTCGGGACACACTTGTTTCACTAATCAGTCTTCTTATAGGTACGAAACAAACACATACAATAAATGCACCCAAATGTCTAGCAATTATAAGACGCTCCGCAAGTAACTAGTTTAGTAAGTAGAAACCATACATACCCAAAGTTCAACACCCCAACTTAGCTCATCCATCTCCGTAACGAAAAAAATAATAACACGCGCTCAAAGTAAAATGTAAAACTGAAGTAACGCTTCAGGCTTTTATCTTCAGTAGTTAGGATTGGATGTCAGTCAATCACTATTACACCTTGTAATTTTTAATACCTCAAATTTTAAATCGTGCTTCGAATGTATCAACAGAAAGTGTTGACATTACATATTCCTGAAGAAAATTATAGTAATTTATTATTCCGTGAGAGAAACGGAGGTTCCAGTCTGAACGATTTAATCTCAGTTCTTGAACCATTTCATAAAAACCCCGGATTATCACTCCTAGGTGGAGCGAAAAGATAAGATTTTTGAAAACCAAAATCATTATTCACAATGCGCCAAGCCAGAGTTTAATCAGCTTGTTGCCTGGGTTCAGACAACAGAAGTGGGTTGAAGAGTTTTATTTAGTCTTTACCGAGTTGATCGATCGGTTCTCCTCTAATTTGGACACTTGCTGCTGGATTTATTTGTCTCTTATTATGACGTCCAGACCTCTTTATGATCTATTGAGTTACGTAACACTAGTTCACTTAATGCATAGTTACATGAATCACTTTAGTCATCTATACTTATCGCCACACTTTTGCTATGAATAACTTCCAATGAACAACCACTACTTCACTCAACTGGTAAATCTAGGTCATCGTGCAATGTTGTCCTATCTGGCGGCGTACTGGTCTGTAGATCTTGAGGTTGTAGTGGAACACTTCTACGAAGTAAATGCAATTAAATGAAAATAAAACATATGTTGTTGCACTCGTGTTGTCTAACTGTACTAAAAGCGCTTACTTACTAGCGACCTTATTTTTTCGCGTTGCTGCCATCCTTCATAACTTGCTGCTCATTGTATCGACCACTTTCTCCTTCAAATATATCCTTTTCCCTGGATTTTTTCGTATTTAACAGGGCGGGATAGTAATTAGCATTTAGTGGTGATCATAGTCAATCTCGACCCGGTCATCACTAAAAGGTCATCAACAAAAATTATTGCAGATGACCTTGCTACTGTTCGGAAAACGTTTGCCGTCTTTCAGCTCACTCCACTCTCCTCTTGCAATGGAATTTTTTAGTTATGAAAGGTCCTTCTTAAAGCCATGTTTTTCTCCTACTAAACGATCATTAATTTCCACATAGCTTTGAATACCCTTGCTAATAATCTTTTCCTTTAATTTGACAATGAAACTAATTAGACTAACAGGTTAATATAATTCAGTTCGAGATGATTTGGCTCATCTCGTTATCAATAGTTTGACTTAAATTGCTTCTCTTGGTTGAATACACCGCCAGCCACATCCTATCTTCTTGATATCACGAGTGCATAGTTGTTACCCAAACCTCTACCTAGACTGACCAAGTTATGTTTTAGTCTTTCAGCTATTTGGACTCTCAGACACATATCAAACAGTAATTCCAGTTTTCACCAAGTTTATCTGATAGTGCTCTCGTGGTCTTATGATGAACATCGTCAGGACCAATGAACTTATGGTGTCGTTTGTTGATCAATTACAAGACAGCTTCTGTTGGCTTATTATTTACCGCTATCAGCAGAAAATACTTAACCGAAGTATTCTGATTGGGCCACAGATGTTGCTTCTTGATATCAGAAATGGCGTGATACAATCATCGCTCAGAGTTGCTTTCTTTATATACCACAACAAAATTTCCGGGTTATTTTCACAGTCCCTCATTATTCATTTTGCAGATGAGGATCTACATCTACTCATAGACGCTGTGCATACATTCATAGTCTTACCACAAGTAGCTCTGCAGTGTTAGCAGCTTGTAGAGGTAAACATATTCCATTGCATTTTCGTATGTCTGAAGTGTTGCTTGATGTCTCTAGTTATCCGTGGAGAGACGTTTCTCAGTCAACTTGATACTGAAACCGGTACTGACAGGGACTTAAATGAACTGAGTGTACTATTAAACACAGACTATGTTTATCCAATTCGTGAACTATCGTCCACTAACCAGTCCGTTGTTGCAGAACACTCCTTGAAGGCTGCTAGGTTTTCTCTCAACATATTTTATCGATATCGAACCCGGTCACATACTATGTCACAAACGCAGAAATATAACGATGTTCAGTTATAGTGATAGAATTTACTATTGGAAGAATCTTGAGATCATATAGTGACTGCCTCTGTTCAGTTAATAGTAGGCGCTTCATTAAACTCATGAATCGATCAATGTTAGACTACTATTGGAAGCCTAGAAGCACTGGACGAAGATTTCCTCCTAGTGTGGTACTCCCCAATGGTGTGTACTTACGACTCTAAAAGACAGAATCGAATTTAGGACCTTCTGTCTCACACGAGAACGCTAGAGTTTTGACCGCCGATTCGACACTCAGCAGTGTTATATGCTAGCTTCAATCAGTCAATGATATTGTGCTGTAATAACATCATGTCTTTGAAAATACTTTTGAAGACATGTAACCTGATTCTGTTTTCTGAATGACATTTCCTCTCTTGTTACGTCAACAGAAATATCTGTCGAAGAAGGAGCAATACGTACAAAAAAGACATGTTGTCAGTCTGACTCCTCAACGTTTATCAACACTTATCGAAACAAGATTTAATGCTCTAAAGAGAAAGAAGGGAGCACATTTATAGAGAAAAACCAAGTGTGTGATGCCTCAAGCGTAATACAGAGCTATTTAGAGAACGCTTTTGGGTCTCGCTAAAAACACCACTAAGTGAATCATAGCTGACCCCAATACCTACCTGTGCAATCACCAGGAACATAATCTTTCTGAGGCAATAGCACATAGAAACACTCTTGCAGTGAATGACTAGATGGAAACCGAGCTCACATGCTGAAAAATTAGAGTAATGATCTGTGTGTTATACTTCTTAAACTATTCGTCATATCACTCTAGACAGTGTTGCCCTAAAAACTGGAAGGCTACACTTATCATCCATCCCCACAACTAAACCAGGGCATAAAGCGAAGGGTGAAAAATGCCGATCCATAAGTATTACCCCGGTAGTAAATAGGATAATGCGGAAAGAAGTAAACATGACAGTAATAAAACATCTACCTAATGAGAAGATGATATCTACCTCACAGCATGGGTTTCTCAGGTCCTGGTCATGTGATTCATGCCTACCAGACTATCTTAATGATATAACTCAAAAATTGGTTTGCTACAAAACTACGAGTATCATTATCACTCTTCGACTTTAAAAATGCTTTTGGTAAGATCCCAGACAAAAGACTCCTTGTTAAACTAAAGTCATATGGAATCAGCAACCCACTTTATCGCTGGTTCGCTTCAATCGTAAATGAACGCCAGCAATTAGTAAAGTACAAACAATACCTCCACATACATTTGAGTCTTCTCACATTACCTTTGATTATGCCTTTTGATTAAATTATTTAATCGAGTCATCTGTACGGCAATTATTTATAGATACTATTGGTTTTGATTATTGTCGGGTTTGTATGCGTTAGTACGACTGAACATTGCCTACCGCATACGCGCATATTCATCCTACTTGCTTGAATGTTAATCTCTTAAATATTCCTCATATATATATATATACATATATATATACATTTTAATCTTATTAATTCATTTGCCAACTCGTCAATTCTCTCACTCGCTCCCTTGTTTGCCTTTCGGCACTGGTATATTTATTTTATCTTTATGCGCCTTTGGTTTGTTGGTCTAATTCTAGTGTGCCAAATAAACGTATCCAACACTTCGTATTAGTCTTCTGATTTGTAAACCGTGAGGCGCTTTTCAGTAACGGCCGTCTGGACGAGTGGTATACGAAGTCTAAGCACGAGTCGGATACTGACCGTCATGAAGCAAGTGAGACATTGGCTACCACAACCTTTTATTGCCAATTCCAACAACTAATGTGGAGATACAAGGAAGTGTATTAGGTCCATTATTGTTTCTCATGTACACAAAAGAATGTGTAAAATCACAGAATTTTGAAGACCCTACTCAAATGCTGATGATTTCAAAGTAATATACAAATCTAAGCCTGAAAAATCAAATGGAAATATAACACATATTCACAACCCATTTATCTGGAGCAAATCGTTTCAGTTACCAACCGAAAAACGGAAAACGTGGAATGCTTCATTTCGGTAAAAAATATTCACGAAATACTGCTTTGCTTCAAAAATATAGGGTCCGACACTCATCTTAGCGCTTGACTTGGATGTTTATGGATCCAGAATCCTAAAATTTGATGGACATGTCTGTTTATTTCGTCATTATATCTACACAGCTAATGGGGTGTAGAATCCTTTTTGAATGTTTTGTTTTTTGGAAAATCCCTCCATGTTTATATAATTTTGTTATGACATGACGGACTTTTTCTGTTGACATTTCGCTATTTTATTTGATTCCAATTTCAGATTTTATCATTGTATATTGTTATTATTTCTATATTTTGTACTTATATTGAAGTTTTTATGTATGCTTCTGAACTGTACATATGTTGTTTAAATTTGATATAATATGGCTACCGCCACATTTTTGGATTGATATCGTGCAGTATAGGAGTTCACCTAGACCTCGGAACCTTGATACTCATTCAGAGTAATTTTGAATTGGAAGGCGTAAATTTCGTTAGGTATTATTTGTATTTCCATTTGTCATTTATTAATAGACCATTTTCCCCTAGAATTATTGTGTTTTTATATTAAAATCGGGAAATGCGTCCGACATACGTCTATTGGAATCGAATTGAACTGGCACGATAGAAAATCCAATTACAGTCTAACGAAAATTGGAATTCAGTCCATTTACTGTCTGGAATTATTCCTAAGAACATTTATATTCTGGAATTATCTATTACCTTTTGATTAGAAGACCAATTACAGTTGGATTATTAAGAATTATAAAGAAACATTTGGAAATTTAATCGTTTATCACACTAGACTTTCTTGAAAGAAGAATTTTGGATTATTTATCGTATTTTCGTATTCGAATTGTATCTTGGAGGAAGAAATTTTGATCTTGGACATATCTTCTTGAACTTATCTGTGGAATTACTATATTTTGTATTTGTTATTTATCTTCCGTTGAACTTCACTTATAATGTCAAGTCGCAAGAAATCAAACA